TAGGAAATATTTTAAATACCTTTTATGATTGTCATAGTTGCTGCTTCAGTCCTGTAGTGTTCCCGTAGAATGGGGGGGGAAGGGTTCAGCGTGAGAGAATTGAATTGGTACTCATATTTCTTTTAGGATAATATGCTAATTTTACTTTGCATTGTTTAAAAAAAGAAACAACAGTTGTTCATTTGTTCTGGCTTGGGTTTCTGTGTTTAAAGAAAACCCCAAGCCCACCAGAACTTGCAGTGTTGGGAATGACACAACGCCACCCCCCCCAGTCTGTCTATCTGGTATTTTGACAATAAAACTAGATACAGTAAGAAAGTAATTATAGGTTGTTTTTGGAGACAAAGAGGAGTGCTTTAACAGGGAAGCTGAAACTTGATAATTTAGTGCTCTTGCTCTCTCGCGTGGACTGTCGCTAGTTCAGAATGTGAAGTATCTCATCACCCTGCACCCTTCCAGTTTTTGATTTCTGCCTCTACGCAATTAGGCGAGTTAGCAAAACAAGTAAACACCGGTCACCAAAGCTACTAGGACAAAGTTAAATCTGTTCGGAGTTCCTGAAGGTACCTGACCTGGATTTACCAAATACATAAACTTCTTCATGTTCCATGAAACTCTTCCTCTTTCCTGAGGAGATTTATCACAAAGTCACTCTGCTTTTTCTGGAATGCTGTAGTTGTTAGAACTGTTTTGCAGTCATTGTGTTGTGTATCTTTATGTATAAATTCAGGTTTTATATTCTATATTAATCATTCACATGCAAGTTGTTCAGAACTAAAAGTTTTGATTGTCAGTTCAAGAGGAATTACCTTGCATGGTAAGGGTGAGGAAAGAGGGAAGAGATTCTCCTTGGTCTCTGAAGCATCGGACATTTGAAAACAGAAAAATTATTAATTTCACGAGAAAACTATTTTGTCCACAGCTTTTGTCCAGCTCTCTTCTGCTGGTTGGATTTAATAAGTGGTGGATATATCCTCAGCATTAAAATAGTGCTTGAACTCCTTGTATCATTAGAATCACTGTTAAAAGGTGTCCCTGTCTGAACTTAGCTGTTTTAAAGTTGTGTTGTGTTTTGGTTTTGGTTTTTTTTTTTTAATCTGCCATTTAAAAAATGCCAAAAAGCCATGTGCTTGAGGAAAAAAAAAGTCAGGAGTTCGATTTTTGATTAATCACAGCATATCTGACTGTTAGTTGTAGTTGTTTGCAAATGGCCTTTCAAGAGTTATTTTATTGGGCAGTACCGTTCCAGACCAAAGGTCAGGGTCATAATACTCATAATATTTGGTGAGTCATAGGTTTGTCCTGGAATCCAATTCTGGAAGTCATTTATAGGACATTGCCAGTGTCTGATCCACTGGAAGGTATTACAGCTGGGGGAGAAAATGTATTCGCCTGTCCTTTTTCAGCTAGGTTCATTGCCCTCTTGCAGACTGTGAATCAGGGTTGTGCTTTTGGGCATTGTAACGTGTTGTCCAATAAAATGCTCTTAAGTTGTAAATTGGCTTCTGTGAGCCTTTCGGAAAGCATCTCATTAATAAGGGAAGGCTTTTTATTACACCAGGTATTAATTTTATTATCCTCAATTGTGACTAGAATCTTTTATGATGTTTATGAGGCTCTTGGTCTTAAATATTTATTTGCTGGATGAGGGCCCTGTTTCAGTCTGTCAATGAGCAATAGGTCATCGCTGGCCCTAGCCCATGCAAAATGCTTCAGAGGCAGTGACAGTCCCCATAGTAAGCAGATGTGGGATAACGTGATGCTCCCAAAATTCTCAGTCTTAATTCCAAAACCATTGATTTAAGCCCAGAAACAACCGTGGTGGGTTTGCTTCGTTTCCTGTGCTGTGTGTAGTGTCGATTGCTGTTGCATCTTTAGCTCTAGCAGTGGTGATCCTGTCCCCATTCAGTCGAGGGAACCCAAATCCTTGCACCCTCTAGGTGTGTAAGCAGTTTAACTGGTGTTCTCAGCACTAGTCAGAGCTACAGCCCTTCTGCATAGTCTGTGTAGAAATAAAATCCTTTGGAGGATCTGGTTTTCCCTGCCAAATTCACCTTCCTGCAGTTCCAGTGAGTGATTGAGGGAGGAGAAGGCAGGGAAAAGGAAGGGAAGAGCCTGGGTGGCAGTCCTCTGAGTTTTTAGTTCTGTCTTTCTTGGGAATACCTTCTGTGCCTCTCCAGTTTAAGAGCTTGCCGACATAACTATCCGTTTCGTTTTTGTACCTTCCCAAATTGTTGATCTGAATAAAACCGAATGCCACCAGTTACTGATGGTACATGCAAAAATATTTTATTTTGTGAGTTTTGAATTTACCAATGCTCCTTTTCTTTGGCTGGTCTCTGTGTGGGTTGGGTTGTTTTTCCCTCTTATGATAAAGAGGAAAAAACTCTACCGTCTGTGTTTTCTAAGGTTAGATATCTATTATTTCTATACACCTATAATGACCCTTCATATTCATCTCTGCTCTTAACTATCAGTCTCAGTTTGTGCAGGTTCATGTCATATCTTCACTGTCCTCTGTCCCTCATTCTTCTCTTCGCTGTTTTCTTGACCCCTGCAGTTCTCTACTACCCTGTTCAGAGAGGCTGTCCAGAAGAATAAAGAATGCAAAGAGATCTTACATGCAGAAAAAGGAAATCAAATTCACTAGTATTCGAATACTTGTTCTCATCCTTAATTGGAATGTACTTGGTTCAGCACTGTCTGCAAAAGTGTGTTGAATAGAGAAAGCTGGAGCATATTTTTTAAAATTAAGGTTGCTTATAAAATAGTCTGATTCTTCTGTCAGTTTTCAAAATTCTCTTCTGTTACGTGGGCAAAAGTAATGCCACTTGGAAATCGTTAAGTTAATTGCATTTCCAGTAGTCTCTTAGAGGATCGAGTCCTGGGATTCACCCGCAGTTTTCTGAGGCTTTTCCTGTTTTCTAGTATATTCTCTCCTGTTGTGTGAAGAGTGTTTCAGCAGCATAGGAAACTAACGCACAGCGCTATTAAATATGTCAACTGATTAAGTGATAAATATCTACCGAGAGTGATACAAGCTGTTATCTTTAACAGAGCGAGTGCATAGTTTTAAAATTGAAATATATTTTTAAGTTGATATCCCTTTTACAGCTTAACAAGGTACCCAAGCTTTTGAAGTAGAATTGGTCCTACTAATCATTAATAGGAAAAAAATTATCGAATGTAATCACTGAAGATATATACATGTCAGGTAATATGAATGTCTAGTTAAAGTTTGATAAAATGTTTATAGATTACTATATTACACAATTCTAGATGAATGAAGTGGATTTCAAGAGCAGAGGCGATGTCGCGGGGCCGTGTGGCAGGGCAATGGCTGTATGAACACTTCCCTCCATCGGTGTGCCTGCTCTGCCCTGAAGGGAACCCGTCTGTAAGCTAGACTCGAATCCAACCCAGGCTGACGTCATGGAGAATTTTTTTTCTGTTTCCTTTTGTGTGGTGATTTTTGTCCTACACTTTGCTCCTTTGTCTTGGGAGGAAAGGGGTTTCCATTGGCAACTAGTTGTTTGTTGTTGTGGCACGTCTTTTAACAAGCTCTCCATTTTCTGGTGATAGGTGGAGGCCTTATCAATGCTGAAATAGCTAATATATTTGTTATCCTTTACATAGTTTTAGCAAGTGAATAATTTTGATACATTTTTATCATACATTTGCAGAGGCACGTACATTTGAAATTGGATATAGTGCCTTTTGGTTTGTTGCGTGGGGTACGGTATTGGTAGAAATATCACAAATAAGAGAGAAGTTATGGGAGGTGATTGTTTTTGTGGAGATTTTTTGTGTGGCAGGCACTCAAAGTGCCCTTCGGCTCTTACTATTCTGCTTTTATTTCTCACACTTGTGGAAGTTGCGTAACATAAGCATCTTTCAGGTCTGTGCACTCAGTCTTTCTCTCAGTCTTGTTTCTATATCTTTATTAATTTATTTGTGTTTAAGGCCAAGTAAGCATTTTGCTCCTGTTCTCAGAGTATTACTGTAATTATGGAAAACACTTAAAAGTGAGCATTTCTCTACGTTAGCCAGGAGCCTTAAAGCAAATCACCAGTCTTGGCGCCAGGCGCGGGTGATAGTTCTGTTTGGATGAAGAGACCTTAAATAGTTTTTTCTCTGTGCTTTAAACATAAACAGGATTTTCTCTAGCAGATATGGTGTTCATCTTCCCAGTTTTGTTCTATTTCTCTTTTAACAGGCATGCCTGAAATATATGGGAAGAAACAAATCCTGGTTTCCTTTACTGTCTGAGTTGCTGATGTCCTGCTTTCTGCTTTTGATGAAGGATCTTATTTTATAGATGGGCAGAAAGACTGCAGAAAATATTTGACAGTACCAGTTGTCATCCTGTTTTCTCGAGCAGTAGTTATTATGAGGAAAAAAAAGAGATTGGATTTTACTATACTATTAATGGTTTTATGCCTTTTGGGTGAGAGAGGGCTGCTTTAGTTCCTTTATCTGGAAACAGTTCCTTTGTGAAGCTAGAAAAGTGGTAATGCTCTGTTGGTGGTAATACTGTGATGATTCTGTGGTGCATTTTGAACTTTACTGTAGTTACTTCAGCTCCTACTAATACTCTATGCAGAAAGGCAGCTATTCCTATAGAGCCAAATAAATTGCTGCCTACTTGAATGGTATCAATTTTGAATTGTGAGACATGGAAATAACCTTTGCAAATATGAGGAAAGCAGTGCTCTGGTTGAGTGGAGATTAGGCAGAATACTGTTAGTGCATTCAATAGTGTCTCTTTGTGCTTGCATGTGTGAATTGCATTATCAATGATTCTGAGTCTTACTGAAAAAGCTTGAGTATTTGGTGTAAAATCAAGAACAGAACATGCACAACAAGGATGCTCGCTGAAACACCTGAGCTTACTCTGCATCTCTTCCAAAATTAAGATCTTTTATGTGTCACTCTTCCTTTTCCTAGATGGGAATGACAAGAATAAGACTTTTTTGTGTGTGTGTGTTTCAGATTGTGCAGTGAATGTCCATAAGAACTGCAAGAGTTTACTGGCTGAATGCAGCAGCATCAGACCCAAGGTGGGTTTTAAAAGTTGTTGTTCTTTTATAATAACAGTGCTTGACACAGTAAGTTTAATTTAGTGCAAGTGTTTTAATTTACGTCAGTACAGAATCTTGCCCTACATCTTCAAGACATCGAATAGTTATTAACTTGTCATTATAGTAATTTATGACAATGTATGTAGGGCAAATAAAATGAAACGTTTTATTGCTGTACTGAAAATTACTTACCATTGCTTGTGTCTGTCAGAACTGTGACTAACTCTTATAAGAATGCTCAAACCCATCACTTTTTTTGGGAACATAATTGAATTATATGGTACCTCTGAATTTTGTGCCGCTCTATTTTAATAGGTTGTGCCATCTCAAAGCTGATGGAAGAGTGTGAGGGGCGGAGGAGAATTTGGTTATAGGAGTTGCGTATTATTTATAAGCTGGGCAATGCAGAATAAGTGATTTCATTTTTGCACTGTGATGAACTTTATATTTTGCTAAGCTGTTCATTTTTTATCTGTGTCACCATGGTGCCTGTGATTGCATGTAAGGTCACAGGTTGGTTTCAGATAGCTGTCTATCTGTTGTTTTATTCTGGTATTGGTTTTGAAAATCATTTCCTCCTCCTTTAATTATACTTGAGGGAGTTTCAGTTTGTTTTAACCTACAAGTGTTGATGATTTCCAGGACTCATAGCAGATTAGGGGGTACTATGAGGGGGAAAAGAGAGCAGAACAGCTCAAACCTGGGCAGTTAGAGGTTAGAGGAAGTGTTTTCAGCCGTTGGTGATTTAGAATGTAACTCTCTTGAAGGCAGAAATGTTCTTGTGGGGTTTTTGATACATACTTTTAAACTTCTCGAGGCATTGTGCAATTTCCTTTCAAACCTAAAAATTCACTTGCTCTGATGCTTTCATTTCCACTCTTTAGCATCTCCCAAACTTTCATGGTTGAATCAGCCCTTACAAACCACTCCTGAAGAGAGCAAAGAGGGAACAGTAGCACAAAATGATATCGGGAATGAAGTTGGAAATGAGATTCTCAAAGTGAAGCGAGACTCCCAAAAAGCCATTTGTTGCAGACTGTGTTACTTTTTTAATTTCTTTGCATCTTAGATAAATTGTATCTCAATGAATTGTAATATCCTAGTGTTGTAAGAATGAGAAAGTCGTACAGATTACCAAAGATGTAATTTTAAATGGGCAGTCTAAATTTTGGTTGAAACTGGCTGGGTTAGTTTAGTTAGTATTGCTATAAACTAAACAGCAACAAAGTGTGGGTGAAGACTGTCTACATAAAGGGTTTGCTTTCATTTAATAAATGATTTATGATCATAGCTTTAATTCAGCTGTAACTTCATTTTTGGTTCTATTTCGGTCTAGTTTGTACTTGATGGGATTTTTATACGAAGTGTTTATGTCTATATGCCATTCTTCTGGAATGTGAAAAAATCAAAACTGTTACTGTGTCAGATCTTTTATATTTTCAGTATACAGCTTCACTTACAGTTAGTGCTAGATGATAGGAAAAATATGATTCATTTTGGACTGAAAGTTTGGTCTGTATGTGTAAGAATATTGTATTTTTTCCTATAGCAGAAAGATTTGCAGCACAGACCTTCTGGATCTCCACAAAGTTCACCCCAGTGCATTTCCCCAGGTTTGTACTAAAGAATGATTTCTGTGCTCAAGGCTTATCTGTTCGATTGTATTTTTTTCTTTAATATGTTTTAAAGGCTATACACAACGTGTTATTGAAGTATAGAGAAGGTCTCTTTTAATAAGATGGCTTCATTTTTTTTTCTATTGGGAATGGCTTAGAGGCTCCTAGCAATCTCCTGTGTGTTTTTATCTTTTTATCTTTTTATTTTTCTTTATACCTTCTTGCTGTGTAACCTCAAAATATCATGGTGAAAAGGGATCAATAAGCTAGTTTTTCATTGATTGCCTATTCTCTGGCCTCTGAAAAGACTAGAACTGTGAACTTTGTTTTACATCAGATTTTCATAATTGTCTATTTAAAACTTGCCTGCAGCTAGCGGTTGCTAGAAATCTCTAAGACAAGCTAGCGCTAACGGTCTGGACATAAATCTTTGTTGAAACAAAGTGGGAAAAGGGATCTGGGAGAAAAAAAAACAAGAAGAAAGAACAGCTCTGTTGCAGCATAGGCTTTGAAATAGCTTTTTGCTACTGGAAAAGACCATTGCAGCCGCAGGTGTATGATTTAAATAGCATTTTAATTTGCAGATGTTTTGAGGTCTGCATTAAGAGAACAGGCTTCTTGGCTGTCAGATGATTGACCGTGACTAGAGAAGAATTATTTTCTGCCTTGCAGTTGAGCCGTTTGGTTACTTTCATGGCTGTAAGAAACACAGTTGACATGAATGTCCGAGTATTACTATGTGTGTTTCATATGTTTTTGTTAGGTATCATTTGACTTGCATTGCACGGTGTACTTCTTTATGAAACAATTCTTACCAAGAGGTAGCGCAAAGGGAATAATTGTTACAAGAAAAGTGGCTGTTTGCGTTACCAAGAATGGTTTTGTGCATTAGGGGAAAGTGCAGAGGCTAAAATAGGAAACAATAAGGAATAATGAAAATAGGAAAAGTTGGCTGTAGGGCTTGTCGTTGAAACAGCTCTGTGGTATACAGTCTGGTCTGGTGTGATAGGTTAACAATGATCGATACGGACTCTCAGCAGTGTGCAGACAGTGCTAATTGAACTCAGAAAATGGCTTTTTGTTGGTGCAGACTCTGCTAGGCAGCCAGTACTTATTTTCCATAGTCAAAAGCAGAAGCTGGAAGTTAAGGGAACAGCTATTAGCATGGGCATTGTATGTCTTTACCCACAGTAGAACAGTGCAGACTGCAGTGTCCAGCAAAAAAAGCCAAAGGTATTGTGTCAACATAGGACAAGAGGAAATGGCCTCAAGTTGTGCCAGAGGATGTTTAGATTGGATATTAGGGAAAATTTCTTCACCAAAAGGGTTGTCAAGCATTGGAACAGGCTGCCCAGGGAAGCAGTTGAGTCGCTGTTCCTGGAGGTATTTAAAAGACGTGTAGACATGGTGCTTAAGGACATGGTTTAGTGGTGGACTTGCAGTGCTAGGTTAACGGTTGGACTTGACGATCTTAAAGGTCTCTTCCAACCTAATGATTCTATGATAAAAGAGAAATACATTTCAAGAAGGGTACAAACTGTGGTGGTTGTATCCCCCATCCCTCTCCTTATGTTTTGCCTCTGGAGATTTTTAGATTTGGCCTACCATTGTGAAACAGAACTTTATGTTCTGGGCTTGTGGAGCACAGAAAGAGATCTTGGTGGCTGATGATTTCAATACTTCCCCAAGTGGAAACAGGAGGGCATTTATTATTAAGCCTTTGTTTAAGAAATCCGCCTTTACAAATCTTGCTAATATCTCCTTAGTCTCCTCTTTCAGGACAGTAGGCTTGCAGCTCATCACTTGGAGATGATGGAAGAGTTTACCGTTTGTGTAGACTGAGACTGTGCTGTGTGTGTAGCCAGGAGATTTCAAACCCAAAGAGGTATCGGGAAAGGTATTTCCAGCAGGAAAAGATGCAGTGATATAATTTCATTGACATAATAAATGTCATTGATGAAACCTCCCCTGCAGCCCTAATACAATTCTAGTCAACTGTTTCAAGGAAGATGAAGTGAGGGACAAGCAGATGTAGAGTATGGGATATCAAGAAATGTGGAAAAACCTGTTTTTTGAGAAGAAACATGAATATCTTGATTTAGCTGTGTTTGATTGAGCAAGGCAGAAGTGGAGGGAGAGATGATTGTTAGTGGAGGTATACCAAGGAGTGCAGACTGAAAAAGGGGAACTTTTGGGCATGGGTAGACACCGCTGTTTTTACAAAAAAAGTTGTAAATTGGCAATGCATAATAAACCTTGGCTGGGAACTGGAGGCCCTCTTGAACTACTACAACAGCATGGTCCTGAAGCAGCCTCCCAGACACAGTACTGGAAGAGGAGTTTGGTCTGGGTGTAAGACAAAGCTTCCTTGCAATGGCAGAGTCCTGGGTTCAAGGATCCATGAGATCTCTTCCACTCCCATGTCCTTAAAAGCACTTTGAAAAAAGGGCAGCTGCAGACCTTGTCAGTGATAAGTTTTAAAGATTGTCTGGCTGATTCTTCATTTTTGACTTCCCTTTTTTAAAAGGATGTATTTTGTCTCCTATTCCTTATCCTTCATTACAGACATTAGTGCTAAATAATTGTATCCATTTTTTATAAGTCTATTACAGGCTTCCATGTATTGTGTAATAGTGATTAAAGTTTTAAATATCTTTCCAGTTCACAGTCTGTCTAGATTTAAAAAGCATTAAAAAGCTGCAGTATTAAAATTAAATTTAGCTCTGGTATCTATTACGTTCAGTGTGTGTGCATGCAGATATAAATCACTGTGTAGCAATAAGCATTGCAAAGAACTTGTGGTTTTTATGTGATCTCAGATTTTTCTTGTTTGCCATGAAATGTTCTGTGCCCTTATACGGTAGAGTGTGAATAATTGTGTGTAGGTTCTGGTGTTTTACTAAAGGAGAAGATACTTTGCAATTTCCACACTAAATGGGCACAGTAGGGACCAATTTCCTGCACTTCAGACCTGCTGATTTAGCCAATACAGTAAGTTAAGTGGCAGCTTTACATTTCTAGAAGGATCACAGGTAGTATAAAAACAGTGCATCTCTGGGGCCACTTTACTGTGCCAAGACTGAGGGCAGCCAGTAGTGAGCATGGGGAATACAAATTCAAAAAGCAGCGGCAGAAGCAATACAATTCCAGCTCATCCTGAGCTGTCTTTTTGTGGTTCCTTTTCAAGAAAATGGAATGAGAATGTTTTTTTGGACAATGAGCTCTTGACATCCAAGATCCTGTCTGTTCTCCGTCCGCATTCAGAGAGAGGTTTGAGAGCAGGCGATCTGCAGTGTACGCCTCATTTTCTGAGTACCAATTCGATTTTTGCCTCTCTAGCCGCCTCTTTGAAGGAGCAGCCCCGAAGTCTTCTCCTGGGACCGGATGGCACCCCAGTACTATCACGGAATCTCGGTATGACTATTGCCCAAAGAGGAAATTCTCAGTCTTCATTGAATACTGCTGGAGCTGTTAATAAATTTGGGTAAGTAAACTGCTTCTCTTCTAATTTACTACCTTCTGCTGCCCCCCCCACCCCAATGTGAAAAGAAAAACAATTACAGAACTAAAGCAAGAACTTACATTGGCTTTCAAGCTCAAAAGAGATTTATTGAGCTTTTAATGCTGAAATTCATTTCCCTGAACAGTAAGCTCTTTTTTTGTTTAAATCACCTTGTCTTTAGTCCCTCTGTACTATGTCACAAAAGATATCATATAAAATAGGGCAGTATTTGAGTATCTCTGTCTAGATTATGGTTTTCATGGGTGTATTTGTCTTCAGACTTGTTGAAATTCAGTAACCTCTTCTGAGTTCAGTTATTCTAGGTTGTGCTAGTTCTGACTAGTGTGGGACACAGCAGTGTTTTAAATTGCAGGATACCTTGATTAAAATAGTAGATGAATTCAAAGCTATCTGCTGTTTTAAGTAGTTGTTTACTTTTTATGTGCCACAGTTACACTCCCTTCTCAGCGAAAGTGCCCTTTGTACTCTGAACTGGCTGTGGCTTGTCACCAGGTGCTGTCTTTTAAAATGTCATACCAGAAGTTACATACTTGCTCATGCTGCTCTAATTAAAACTGTAATATTTCAGTGATGGAGTTGCTAAATTGATTTGACTGTTTAAAGTTGGAGTGCAACGATAGCTTTTATATATTTATTTTAAGTTAATTGCACTATAATTTAGGAAAGGCGCTTGTTAAAGTAGTTGGATTTTTTTTTTTTTTTTTGGTCAAGCAACTTAAAAAAAAGGTTAATGTTCTGTTTTGGTCCCTTGGTCTAATTTCTTTGGCCATTTAGACTAATTTCAGGAGACATGGATGAAGGGGATTCAGGCTTTATAAAATTTAAGCAGACTTCAGATGATGTTGTCTCACTTGCACCTTCAACAGCAGACTCCATTTTTCTGGAAGGTATGGAATTTCTGAGCTTTTCAGGATTTTTATGCAATTTCTTACATGGTCTTAAAGCAGCACTGAGATGTTTTTACTCTTGTTGTTGTTAATGATGGTAATGAGGGATATGGTGGGAAACAATTTAATAATAATTGAAATTGAATGTGCTTTTGGTCTAGATGCATATTCTGTATCCCTCCGAAATGAAATAGAAACAGATGCTCATGAGTTTGAGGCAGAGTCTTGGAGTGTTGCAGTGGAACAGTCTTACGCAAAAAGGCAAAAGAAAGACGTTATAAAAAAGCAAGATGTCATTTATGGTAAGACTATTTGTTATTCTTATAACTTTCTCTTTCATAGTGCCGCTGTTTTGAAACAAAGCAGAAATAATCTTTATTGGCTCCCATTTTGACTTGTGCATGAAAACTAAACCTGAGTGAAGATTTTCAAGTCTGTTACCTGTCTTAGTGTGCGTTAGTCCTCCTATTAATGATTTTAAGCAACCTATAGTTTTCACTATGCCTGTGTAAGCAGCAAAGCCCAGCTATACAATTAGGGAATAGCTCAACTGCGACTGGGAGATGTCGTTAAATAAGTAGGGTCAGTCACCATTTCATTGGGAGATTAAACAGGGCAAATTTAGGAGCTTCACGTCAGTGATGCAAAGATTGTGGTGAAGAAGAAGGTGGTGCAAAAGATGGTGGCTTTCGGAGCCTGCTCTTTTACATCTCACTGGTCACCGCACAGCATATAAATGACTTGATTTTTTTTATTTCCCCTTGCCCAGAACTAATGCAGACTGAAATGCACCATGTTAGGACACTGAAAATAATGCTGAAGGTATACTCCAAAGCCATGAGAGAGGAACTGCAGTTCCCAAATGCAGTCATCAATAAGCTCTTCCCCTGTGTGGATGAGCTGCTGGAGATGCATGGGCAATTTCTGCTCCAATTAAAGGAGCGACGAAAGGAATCCTTGGAAGAAGGCAGTGACCGAAATTATATAATCCAGAACATTGGAGACCTCTTGGTAAAACAGGTGTGAATTAAATTCTACCAATGTTATTGACACTACTAAATTTCTAAAAAGCTAACTGTAAGGTTAAAGTTACGTTATGTAAAGATTGATTTAATACTGGGTTTAAGATTATCTTCCCAGCACAATGTGTGAGCGTGACTCCCAGGAATATATCTGGTCACAAATAATATGAAATGTTCATTAAATGTTCTTTGGGTATGTGCGTATGCATGTTGTGGGATATGCGACTGCAAATGGTTTGGTTCTGTTTTTCATCTGTAAAGTAAAGTAGCATATTCCTGGTGTCCATCCCAAACATGGCTCTCCTGCATTTAATGCCGAGCTTCTTGGTTCTGATCTTTGAAAAATGTGGTAAAGATCCTTTGAACTCATTACAGCTTTAACACCCATTCTGGTATGGAGTGGATGCAACAATTTCTTTCATATATTGTGACCATTTTTTGCCCTTCACCTTTTACAGTCCTCAGTCTTTTTAAGTACAGAGGCCCAGAAATCCTTTTTTAAATTCTCATAATGACAAACATCATTTAATATTTGGTTATCTTGTAGTATTCCAAGCTCTCAGATGCCACACTGCATAAATCTCTCATTTCTGGTACAGAAGAAGTTGAAATCTTGAAGAAATGTCTCAGAAATCAGTTACCATAAAACCATGTTAAACCTGGGTCTTGCAGTGGAGGTAGGTTTACTCTTAATGATTCATGTCTTTCATTCTTATATTTCCAATCAGTTTTCAGGTGAAAATGGGGAGAGAATGAAAGAAAAATACGGTGTGTTCTGTTGTGGACACAATGAAGCTGTCAGTCACTATAAAGACCTGCTCCAAAGCAATAAGAAGTTCCAAAACTTAATAAAGGTAAACAACCACCAGAAGTCTCATTCTGACTGTGCAAAATATACTTGACTGCTTTAGGTTTTATTTTGTACGTGAAGATCTCTTAAATTTGAATGAGCAGGGTTAGAGGCATATTCTTGTTATTTTATGGGTTGTTAGCTTCTTGTATTTTAGACCTTTTGAGCCGTTTGGACACAAATCCATAATTAGCAGGTGTTAAATTTGAGGCAGGCTCTTGAGAGCACATAGGATTGGGGAATAGAGTATTTGTTCCGTCCATGGCTCTATCACTGACTGCCCTGCTGTATGGCCATCTTTGTAAATTGGCTTGATAATAAATTAAATCAACGATAAATGCTGTTGATGAACTACTATAGAAAAAGGCACTCTTAGTCAAGTTTTGCCCACTACATCATCTTTCCAAAACCAGAAGATTGGCTCCAGGGTGGTTTGTTTATCTGCTGTATGCTGTAATGTGCAATTAATAGGAAGAGCTGAAGAGACACGGCCAAAGTGGAAGCCCGTAACTTGAATCTCAGATGGCATTGCACAGTCCTAAGTATTCTCATTTTCCAGTCATCAGTAAGTGATACTGTGTGAACCTTCCAACATAGCTCTATACTTATAGCTCTTCTTAACTAGGTGTCTTTAAAAGTGAGAACCCTTTACTTTCAAGGAACTAAATAAGTGACCAGAGTTTTAAAATACGTAGCCTCAGTCCTTGTAAAGAAGGATCTTGGTACTGTATTCTGCTGTCAGGATTGTTCTGTACCTGCAGTCAAACTAACTAGTGGGATTCTGACACCTTACAGTCTTCTCTTTCTAAACAGAAATCTGTTTCTGTAGGTCAGCTTGCTGGTGAACATACAGTGGTAAAATAAACACTTAGTTTATTCATTATTGACCTAATTGGGCTGTTAGGTGGTTGGGTCTGGTTTTAAAAATATAGTACTTTTCTATGTATTTAAGGACTGATCCTATTATAAAAGGCAATCAGTTAGCAAATAGGCAGTCAAACAATTCAGATTTGGAACTTTCTCTGCTTGGCTCCAGATTTAGTTAACAGTAGTTGAAAATAATACCTAAAATATTTTCCAGTAATAAAAGTAATTTTTTTAATGTTATCAGGAGTTTTGCTTTAGTAAAAGACTGCAGCTAATTTTGTGGTGCTATGCCTAATTGTACAAAAATGTTTTGAGACAGAAAATGTGTGAATGGAGAGGCGAGGGAGTCAGAAGAGCAAAATATGTGCAATGGATGTGATGAGTCTGTCTTGTTTTCTAGAAAATCGGCAACTGTTCCATTGTGAGGAGACTTGGTGTTCAGGAGTGTATCCTTCTAGTTACACAGCGCATTACCAAATATCCAGTCTTGGTGGAACGTATTATTCAGAATACGGAAGGTAGGTTGTTTAATCTTCCCTGGAAGCCTCACAGTTGTCTGCTGATCCTTTTTCTCACGTTTTGCATGTTCTTTCCTCAGACAAGGAGGGATAGGCTGGTACTGCCTTATACCTGCTTTCTGACTTCTTCGTTAGCTGAAGATGCTGTTCTAGATGCAGATCCAGATCAGTATCACCTCATCAGAGGGTCAAGAGCAGTGTTCAGTTTCAAGTCTGCAGCCACAAAACCATAGTAGTTAAGCCTGTCAGTTCATTAGAGATTTAGAGCTTTAGGATATTTTATTTTATTTTTAAACTTAAGCTCTTAGGAAATACTGTTAGATATTCAGTATAGAACCTTCATGTTAAAATATGTTTGGGTGGCTCCTATCTTGCATTCCAGAGTTGAAAATGTGACTGGCTGCTACTCTTTTCTCCTAGTTGGAACTAGAGATTATGAAGAGTTGACCCAGGCCCTTAGTTTAATTAAGGACACAATCACTCATGTAGATGCCATGGTAAATGAGTGCGAGAAGGGGCAGCGTCTTAAAGAGATTATGCATAAAATGGAGCTAAAATCATCCGGGAAATGCAAGAATGGGCTTTTCTTCCGGAAGGATGACATGGGACAGAGGCGGCTTCTACTGGATGGGATGCTGTACTGGAAAGCTGCATCAGGGCGACTCAAAGGTAAAGGACCAGGAAGGGGAAAAGTACAACTAGGAAACAAGATTTTTTTTTTTTTTTTCAGTAACTGTTTATTACTGATCGATTGAGTATAAAATAAGATGACAATAACCTGCTTGTTTAATAGGATATTGGAGGAAATAGCACTTGTTCTATTCTTGGCTTGTCCAATAAGCATCTCTATAATGGTGCGTGATAAGTTCCTTATGCTGTTTGCTTATTATCTGTCTGATCTGCTTTCCAATTCAAAAGGGAGGTCTTTAGATGACAAAGCTTTGAGTCATACTGACTTAGTCTCCTGTGGAAAGGCATTATCTTGTGCGAGCTCTGGTTCGCACTTTGAAAAATTGTGTCGTGTCAACCCCTTGACACCTTCATTCTGTATAATGTCTGTTTTGCCAGAAAATCAAAACAGTGTCCACCAGTGAGTATTTTAACAGCTTCATTGCTCAAGTGTTCAAGGAGAAGCTTCAATGGCACATAAAATGCAGCCAAGAGTAGGTGGTACTGTGAACGTCTGCAGTTCCAGAAGAATCTGCTGTTGAGGGAGACATGTTCCCTCGTGAGTGTTTGAGTCGATGTGTAGGATGCCAATGTAGGTGTTTTCAAGCTTTAGAACAGTTCTATTTGTATTGTGCTGGTTCTGCACGACTGCAAGCTGTCTGTGGACAACCCAAGTGGAAGGCAGTAGCAGCCCCAATATTGTGAATGTTGATGTGCTATTCCCTGACCAACAGGAAGTGTAAATCAAGTGATTTTTGAGTCTGGACTAGTCTTTCTGCTTTAAAATCTGCTTTCTTTTTTTTCTTTTTTTTTCTCTGTTGTGACTGCAGATATTCTGGCAGTCCTGTTAACTGATGTACTGTTGCTCTTACAAGAAAAGGACCAAAAATACACATTTGCATCGGTGGTAGGTATTGTTCTCCTTATTTAATACATTCACTTAGAGTATTTATGAAAGTGACAGTAACTACAGAAGAAATACAGTTAGAGGTGTTAGATACTTGTTATGGTAGGTTCAGAAGGAAAATTAAGTTAATGAACCAGCCTGCTATTGTAGAATCACTTTTTCTAAAGCAGTTCTGGTACTTATTGAATCCCTCCCGCTGTCTCTTAGTGCAAAATAGTGTTCCCTTGCATCAGCCAGTTCTAGCTGCCACATCTCCTGTGGTTTTCTGATGCCCTGAGTGTGTTCTGAGGTTCACTGCTTCTCCTTTTCTTGTGCTGTGACTTTCCCTTTCACTGAACTTTGTTAGGCTGCTATTTTATGCAAGTCATATATGTTAAATGTGCTAGAACTGTGCTTTGAAAGGCACTTGCAGGTAAGTTCTGCTTCTGTTTATTAACGTGAAGGGAAAGAATCTTCCATTTTGGTTAGGGACGTGGTAACCATGGTCATAGTAGCCTAAGGTTTACTGGGGGCAGAGAACTTTCCTGAAGTAAATGTAATAAGCACTAAATGCAAATGTAATTACTGCAGCACTCTCGAACACTCAGTGGATTCGCTTGCTTTTCTAGGGCATTTCCACAGGTATCCTCAGAGTGGTTAATTGTGTACATTTTGTCCTGATCTAGTTCAGTTATGGCTGTAATAGAACCAATAACAGAGAGACTATTTTATGTAATTGTTTTCTTGGATGTATTTTTTTCAAGACATTAACATTAGAGCTGAATTCTAATGGCAAAAGCTATTTTCGTGACCTCAGGGCTGTAAAAGCAACTGCTTTTCAAATTAAACCATCTTCTAATGCACAGAATGGAGATACTTTCACAAATCAGCATAGCTGGGAGTTGTTTCCTCTTGAACAGCATTAGGTGAATCTTTGAACAATATTTAAGTTTATGACATTGGCTCTGATAGACTGATTCTGCCCTGTTTTCCAAAACGCATCTGAGCTATGAGCAGAAGAGCAAGTTCATAGAGAGGGAAAAACATGCTGTTAATGTACGGTGTCTCGACTGTTGTGGCAGTTTTCCATATGACTGCCGTTGCTTTGAGACAAGTGTGAGTAGCTTACATTGAGGCTAAAACATGCATACATGTTCTTAGTCAGTATAGCTGTTCCACTGCAAGGTAATGCCCTGGTTTATATGTCCCCTAGTAATTTTTCTTTTCTGTGAGCACATATCATACAGTTGCTTATGACAGTCCCCAAAAGCTGATCTCTGCTACATGGTAGGGTTTTTTTTCCCTCCAATAACATACTCTACAGTTATAGACTGGTCAATTTTTTGCATCTTTGTATGTATACAGTTCATTTGAAATTCAGATATCACTTCTCCATAGATAAATCAATCAAGTGAGAGGAGCAAATGGATCTGCTCAGTGATTCTGTTTTTCCAGTGACCTCTGTTCATGGCTTGAATTGCAGTACAGCTGCTCAGAGAAGTTGGCAAAACCGAGTGTTCCTGATGTCTGTTTCACAGTTCCGTTTTCTTACTGTCACTCTAGATTATGCTGTGAAGGTTCAGAAGCTGTTTTCTTCTCGGGAGGATCTTTCTAGGCTGCATAGATTGGACCTGTCCTGTGTGAAGCATAGATGGGGTTTTAGTAACTAATATCCCTCCTGTAAATTTGTTTTCATTGCAAAGACTGAAAGCTAATCCAGTTAATCCTTAGTTACACAATACACTGTCACCTTTTTTTATTATTCACAGGGCCTGATGGCACGCTGTAACACCTCTGTGTTATGTTTTTGTTTCTTTTGTAGCTAACTTGTCAACTTAGAACTTCTAACACTTCCTTTTGTTCCCTTCTTTCATTTCACGTATCATTAAGGTTTTTGTTTTCTTTTTCAAATTCTGGTTTTGCCTCTTTTTGAGCAAAATTTTTGAGCCTGTTCTTGAATTCTGGGACCCAGTGGGAATCCTTAGGTGTTTAAATTGATACATGCTTTAATATTCAATCAGGTACCAAAACCTCTTGTTTTTCAAATGTACATTCTTCATTCCATGTTTTGATCTATGGTTGATGAGTGAAAAATGACAATGTCAAAAGTGTCATGTGAAGAGGCCATAGCAATAAAGTTATAGTGTTGCAATGTTGTGGCTCATAGTGGCCCTGTATAAGTAGCAAGACGGGGAGCTAGGAAGCACAAACCCTAAAGAACGTGTATAATGTAGTGCAATAAATTATATTTTGTTTTACAGGATTCTAAACCACCAGTTATCTCATTGCAAAAGTTGATTGTAAGAGAGGTAGCTAATGAGGAAAAGGCAATGTTCTTAATTAGCGCTTCCTTAAAAGGACCAGAAATGTATGAAATTCACACAAGCTCGAAAGAGGAGAGGAATTCCTGGATGGCACACATCCGCAGAGCTGTAGAAAGGTAAATTATGAGTGAGAGCCAGAGGGCTTGATTTCTTGCTCATCAGTCTTCTCTTCGCAGGACTCAATAGGTGTAAATTTATTATAAAAATACATTTGACTATCCCTAAACTTTCTTTGAAGCATGCAATTCTGTTTGTGTTCATTGGGTAGAAGCCACTCATAAAGATGCCATAAAAACCAGGCAAAGACTTTATTCTGCTTTTTTAAAAATAAAAAAAAAATTTGGTTCACTGATGTCAAATGCAACAGGGCTTTGGATAAGGGAGGAGGATTGACACACGAGAGAAACCACATCCTAGGCAAAATCCCGAGATGGTTTTAAGTTATCTAATATGCAAATCAAACATATATCTGTCTCCCCCTTTGTACAGCTGTCCTGATGAAGAAGGAGGAACATTTAATGAACCTGAAGCAGAGAGGAGGCTGGCTGAAGCAAGAGCTGCTAAGTTAAAAGATTTTCAGGGTAATGACTTAGTTATACATTCCACGAACTGCTTCTCAGCACCGTTTGTGATTTTTTTAATGTCTTATTATCACATGATGTGATCAATTTTCTCCTTCATAAGTCTTTCAAGGTATTGAAAGATTATATAGAAATAGTTAAGTTAAATAAGTCTAAGAAGCTTTGTACGCTCCATGAGTTTTCCCCTTAACTGTTTATTATGTCTCTGCATTTGATGCTCTGACCATAAAATGAATAATAATCTTCCAAACTGAACATTGTACTCTGCCAGTGACTAGGAAGGCAGAACTGAGTTTGTTTCGTCCTTTAGAGCGTTTGAACATGAAAGATGACCTGATCATGCAAAGTCTAACTGAGAAGCAGCAGATTTATCTAGAAATGTCTGAAATGAATGGGTTTGAAGACCATTCCCAAGGATCCCGATCTAGGCTACTTCTTCGGGGGGATATCTCAGAAAATCTGCAAGGAGAGGCTATTTTGAAGTCTGCGGTGACAGAAGGTAAATGCAGTGTGGGAATGTGTGGGGATAAGCACATAGGATCTAAGACAGATCCTGAAAATCATCCTGTAATAACATAATACTTTTACGTAACACTGTTCAGACTTCCTTATTCTCAGAACCAATCTGCAAGATAGGTAAAGTGCTCCTGTGGTTTTAGGTAGAGGAACCATCTCCACAGCTTGGATTTTTTTATTTTTAAGGATCAACCAGCGGAGTATTAGGATGAGTCTATTCAGATGGGTAACTAAGTGCTCTAATAATACACCAATCCTGAAATATAATATTATATGAGGATTATAGATTAAAATAGCCTAGACAATATATTTAGAAAGAAAATAAGCATAAACATAATTTTTATTTTGGAAAAAAAACACCAAACAGACAAACAAAACCACTCAAGGCTTGATAATCTAACTTGCAATCAAGGAAGAGCTCATCTTTATATGTGCAATACGAAGAGCCTGTCCTAAAGAGCTAGTCACAAAGGAATATTCATCTGTACTGCACGAAACCTCTCAAACTGCCCGATCTTTTAATGTACTTGATGGTGACTTTTTTTTTTTTAAACTTGTTAGCATGACGCACTTGTCTCGCTGCATAAACCTGGCTGTTTACACGACATGTTCTCCTCTTTCCTAGCTGAAAATCTCCAGAACCTTATCTTCACTCACTTAGGCAGTGGATCCTGTCAGCCTGAAGATGGCTCTGGGTCGGGACTCCCCAGGAGAGCAGAGACCTTTGGAGGATATGACAGTAGTCCCTCAATTTCAAATAAAAGTAAGAAGGGGACCATTCAGCATTCTTCTGAGCTTCTTAACTCTTTACTGTGTTTCTCTGTACAGATAATGAGATAAGTACAATTAATTAAGTGAGGCTCTGATACAAGGAAGCTTCACCAGGCTCTAAGAGGAGGATAAGAGCAAATTTCTAGCATGTGGTATTATCATGTTGTATCTTTTGCTTCTGATACCAACACTAGAGAGCAGAGTAGAGCTCTCAGTTGGTGTTATGCTAAGGGAATTACCTTAACCCATACTGTCTAATTACCACAATTCCACACAGAATTTTAATTTTGTTGAAAAAAAATAAGCTTGACCTGAAAACCTAGGAAATTTTAATTCAGCTGCCTGCTTTTATTATTGAATCATACAAACTTTTTTCCACTTTCTTTTGTATCTGCACAGTCACCAAATGGTTGCTGAATCCTTAGGTAATATAAATTGTCCTTTGGGCACAGATGCTTTATCAGTTAACTAATGAAATAAGTGGAAATACTAGATACTATTTTATCTCCATTTTCGCTTCATGCATTTATTGAAAAATAAAGTGGTGTTTATTTCACTGGTTGTTAATCTCTAGAATGTTTTCTGTTGTCTTGGAAAGGCTATATATGTCTGTCATGCTATAGGTACTTTATACAGTATGGTTTCCATCTCCCCATACCTCCTTCCATGCTTACAGTGGTGCTGCTTTGAATAGAATTTTCCTACTAACAAGTATTCCATGTTATGAGCTTGCAATTCTGGTAGCCACAGATGATCATTTTCATGCATACATTGTGGTCGCTTCACTTAAAATAGTATAATGTAATTTGAACTTACTCTCCCTATTTATCTTAACCCACTCTCCTCGAGTTTTTGTACTTTTATGAGCAGTCTTACTTGTCACTGTTGTCTACTCTTCCACTTTGAATCAGCATGGACAAGCCATGCAGTTGCATATTGGTTCTAACTTCAAAGTCACAATTTTTTTCTGCTTGCTCTGCTATGCAATGAGTTTTCACAGGCCCTGTGCTGGTGTGAGCTACTCATACTCCACTCTTCTTTCAGGTGGTAGTTTTAGGAAGAACGGTGGTGGTGAGCAGAGACAGTGGGACTGGAGAGGCCCTGCAGTAAGTTCAGATGTTCAACTCCATGACCTCCCTTCTGATGCAGAAGAAGGATCTCAAACCGTATGTTGGGCTTATGCATGATTTAAACACAGTTCCTCATGTTCCTCCTCAGAATAGTAGTGCAGAACAAATCTCGCAAAGTTAAAAGTCGTAATAGCTGGTAGGGCTAGACTGTAACATAGTTCTGTCTGTCAAATTACTAGACTCTGTTAAGGATGTTTTATGGGGTGAGTTGATAGCTTAGCATCAACTTGAGAGGCATGATCAAATACATGGTTTTGTATTTGTTCATTTGATGCTGTACCATTAACGCTAGCTTTAATTACCATGCATCTGTTTTGGCCTGGCCTCTGATTTAAGTATTTTTGATGCGTGTCCTTCAGTGTATGGGAGCAATCTCTGCTCCAGCAGTAAATGCTGTTCCCTAATGAGATGAACCCTTCCAACTTGTTCTGGCAGCACTACCAATGCCCAACAAGTGTCTCTAGCGCAGGTGTTCATTTTGTCTTTTTTACAGAGTGATGTAACAAGGCTGGATGACAGCAGTGGTTTTCAGCCCACCATAGAGTCTCAGGTATGTTACTTCTGCTGTTAGGAAATCTAATGGCAAACAACCACATTACAATAATAGCATGCAAAAACGAACAAACACAAAAAACCTGAGTATTTTTAATGTCTGTGGAACTACAAGCACATTAACAGCCTGTACCTTATGACTCCAACGGATTATGAATGCAGAGATAAAAGTCCCGTTAGAAAACAAAGATGGGTTCTAGGTATGTAGACACGCGTTTCAAAGAGCCAGCTAACTACATTTCCTGCATCTTTGGAGGGATTGCATGTTCTCAGCTCACTGACAAAACTTGCCTCTGAATCTCCCATGAGTGCTATACCTGTGTAGTGCTTCTGTGCTGGAGCATGGGAGGAAGTAATCATTAAATAGCTCATGTGAAGAAAACTGATGATGAAGATTGCTCCCTGGAATCCCAGTGAGATTTGCTAGGCGTTGATTTACATCATTGCAAGGACTAATACACTGAAATTTGTGCTTGCATATTGCTCTATTGGCTGTTACTGTGTTAGAGTATTCTTGTAGCCAGGCTTTCATTATGTGTGTTTTTGTACAGATACCGTTGATTATGTTCACTGTTTAAAAAAAAAAAAAAGCCTAATGCATCAAAACAGAGCTCTGTTCAAGTGTCTAATGTCTTTTTTCCTCCCCCTGCCTCCCCTCCTCTTCAGCTTGTCCAAAGGATACAAACGCTGTTACAGTTGCTCTTCAGTCTTCAGGTAAACCTATCCAAGAGGTTTGTTAGGCATTAAATATAATAAAATTTATGCAGGTGTGGAGAGGAGCTACCTTGAAAATATCCCCTAAAGCTAGAGTGAAGTGCAGAATTTAAGACCTGAGACTCAAGGATACAACCAGTGTGTCTGGTATTTTGAAGGAAGTGTTAGATCTCTTCTCTTAAGTAATTGTTTCCTTTTTCCTGTTCACTTAAATGCAGTTCTTTTGCTACTTCGAGCTCTGTCTACTCTCCCTGCTCCTCTCTTCTTAAAATTGTTGTTGATACACACGTGTGTGTATGTATTAGGGTTTTTTACTGTACCCTTGTAATCAGCAATATTCTGACTGATTGGCTCAGAGTAATAATTCTAGGTGCAAGAAATGTTAATTTTGACATACATAATCATAACTTATTTGCTTAGCCATCTTTAGTATCATGTCAGTCATGATGGGCTGTACAAGCTGGGAGTTAGATCTGCTCTTGAAGACAAAAGTCTCTGTGATCTAATCTGGTAGATGCTGCTGTCTTTTGTTTAGCTGCGCATGGTTTTTGAAGCCATGTGCCTTATGCTGAACTTCTTATTTCCCATCCAGGCAGTCATATCTCAGCAGGACAGCTACATTGAGATGCAACGAGCCACCATGGTAGACCGGGAAAAGCAATATCGGCTGCAGTCTACACGAGGCAATCTGCTGCTAGAGCAGGAGAAACAGCGGAACTTTGAAAAACAGAGAGAAGAACTGATGAATGTACAGAAACTTCAGAGCCAGCTGAAGCTGGAGCAGCAACGCCTGGAACGGGAGAGGAGTCGGCAGCAGAGGGAATTTGAAAGCACAGAAGCCCGGCTGCAGGAGCGTGAAGAGGGGACTCGGCACCTGAGGGAGAAGTTGAATCAGGAGAGGGAAGAACTCGAGAGGCAGCGAGAGGCCTATCAGCATGACCTAGAGAGGCTGCGGGAAGCTCAGAGAGCAGTCGAGAAAGAGAAAGAGCGTCTAGATCAGCTAAGGAAGCTGAAGAAGCAGAACACAGTGTCAGGCACATTCTCCCCAGAAATGGGACAGGTGAGGAATTTGTTTTCTTGGAGTTTTATTTCTGTTAACCTGCTTGCCTCTGAATGAAGGTTGCCCTTTTTGCAGCACTAACCCATGTTCGCTTTTTACCGGGCTCCTTGAACCATCATCTGAAATAGCTGGTGATGGCTACTGTCGGAGAGATCAGAGCTTGGCAGTTCCCCAGTGTCTGTGAAATTCCACCCAGGCATTTGGTAATGAGAATATTTTTTAAAAAGATAGAAATGGAGAATGAGTTATTTTTGAACATGGCTGACTGAGGATTTTTTTTTAATACAGGAACTGCCCTATTGCGGGCAGGTGATTGCAGAAGGTGTGCTACATTGGTAGCATTTTGTAGAGTTGATTTCTAAAAACATTTCTTATGTTTCAAAATGTGAATTCTGGGGTCTGATTAAATTGGCTCATTTGTAACTGTCTGAAAGTCCTGCTTTCTCTCCATCCTATCATCATCTAGCACAGTCTGCTCTTGCATTCCTTTGCTAGGTGCAATATTAACCAGTCTGGAGCTGCTGAGGTTCTTTTCAGTGTTCAAGGACCTATAATCTTTCTCTTCCTTCTGTTTGCCGGCATGCTTTAGGCTTCATCTATCCTGTTGTATTTTTCACTAGAAAGTGTTTTATGTTCTCAGGGCTGAGGGTAGTCTCTCCTCATTGTATCTGAGAGGGTGAAAATACCCGTTTGACTTAGAATGCCTTTTTCCTCACGTAGAACCAGATGCTAAGTCATTCTGTTAGCTTCAATGGAGAAGGGGTGGAATCATCTCTACCCATCTTGAAAAACTCTGTGAGAGTGAGCGTCTCCGGGATGGATTACCTGGAACGGTCAGACTTGGTTCGTAGGGACAGTACCACCCTGGAGAATCGTCCAGTTCTTGCATTGAAGAATGAAGTGCCAATACATCTCCTGAGTGCAACTAATCAAATACAGAAACCAGCTGCAGTCCAGCAGCAGATTCCTACTAAGCTGGCCACTTTTACAAAAGGAAGCAAAGAGAAAGGTGGGAAGAACAAAGCATCTCATAGGACAGACAGTTCAGGTAAGTGTATTTAAATGCATTTCTGATCTCTGCCAGCATCACAGGGAAACAGAACGCTGTAGTTTAAATCTCTGGCTGTCCGTGTGGAACCCAGAAATTAGTGTGCTACAAATTGTTAATGTGCTTACTGCAGTCAGTAGGCTTTTAAAATCCTTAAGTTAAGAGTTACATGTGTATACTATTTCAATTGGAAATATAGCCCAAAGGCGTAATGTTGAAAATGGAGTTCTGTAATCCAACAGTACAGAACAATGGTGAGAGTTTGTAAACCTGGATGTAAAATCTTCTTGCCTAACCGTAGTGTTAAAGGAAAATAGCAAATGTTTTGCTTGTTCTGCATGAGTGAAATGTTTTGAGGCTGGCTTAACCTTTTCTCACTATCTGTCCAGAGTTGTAATGACATTGAATGCAATGCCTTTCTTAGCACCAATCAGTCATTAAATAAAGATTTCCAGGCCAGGATTGAGATGTTGTGTGTGTTGGAGAGTTGAAAGGGGCTAATTTTGTCAGAAATAGAAGCAAGTAAAAATACAGTCACCCTGTCACGGTGTAATTTCTGCTGCTAACTGCTAGGTACTAAAGTAGTGATCTTTGCCAATGACAGATGCAGTAAAAGCCACTTTTTCTCTACCGCTTAAAATAGCCTTACTGCCAGCTTAGGAGAATGCCCTATAATTTTAAGTTACAAAATTATCTTTCTAACTTTGTATAGGATTCAGACTTGGCAAGCTTACCCATCACTTGG